GCAAATGGGGGGGGCAGGGGGCCTTTTCCCACTCCATTAAATTATGGGGGGGGGTGGTTTGGGTAGGTACATAAGATTGGGGGGGGATTTTGAAACCAGAAACCCTTAAAATTTTTTCCCTCCCAAAAAGGGGGGGGAGGAGGTTTTTTTTTCCATCCCTTCCCCATTCCAGCCAAATTTTTTGGGAGAGGGAGGCCCGTGTGTGTGCCAATTATGGCCGGGCGCGCTTCTTTTTTTTTTGGGGCCCCGGGCTTGGGGGGGGGGGGGGGGGGTGTCTTAGTCTGCGTGTCCGTTCGTTCATGATATGTATACACCTGACTGAGGTTTATCCGTTGGCGGAGGTTTATTCGTCGCCACAAATGTGCGGCACCGTGACTCTTCCTATAGTTTGGATAAAAGCAACGACAAAACACGAGGCTGTACCCGCCTGACCCTCAAGCCGGGGTTCAGGAAGTTGGTTTGGCCGTGGGCTCCTTGGGTCCTGCTGCACTTTCAAGTGGATGAACGACTCTCTCAAGTGACTCTCTCTACAGTCGTTACCGTCCTTCTGCCGAACCTAGGCTTTATACCAAAATGAAAGTCGACTACAGCGTACAGCTGCGTCTGGAGTGCTGCCTGTACAACAAAACCATGGCAGGCATGGTACAAGTTCGGGGCGCGCAACTGCTGTCTGAAGTGCTGTCAGAATGCGTCCGTGAATATGCAGTAATAGTGAAAAAGAACAACCAACCAAAGCCATCATTGCAATTGAAAATCACCGAATCTACCCCTGATCATCCGTGTTGGACACAGCAGTGTCAATAATCGACACTGATTACCTGCTCCCTCCTCCCCTTTGATGTCGAAGCCAGGTTACTGAGACAGTACAGCTCCCTCTAGCAAACCTAGGGCCGTGTATATAGTGCCCGTCCACCTTTCTGATGGCGTCTGCCTCCGCGCACAAAACTGAGATGGACATTGCTGTCTACACCGACGGCCATGAGGCCCGCGCATCTGCATTTTTGTACCTACCTGCGTGCCGACCCAACTCTAGACTACCACTACGCAAGCCTCGCGGCGGGTGCGCCGCAGCAAGAAGGTATCGGTCCCTTGAGGGTGAGTCTAGCCATGCTCCCTAGAAAGACCCGCCCCCTCGCTATGGGCCATGCCTAAGCAAAAGCCTTGCCGAGGCAGCGAGGGGGAGAAGGAAGTTGTATACATACCCCATGTGACATAGCAACTCTGTACCTATTTTATCTTGAATCTTGGTTCATACGCTCCCGGCTACGAATTGACCCGCTGTGCGTTTACAGCGCGCGGGACGTGCAAAAAGAGAGGAGCGTTGCAAATGAATCATAGCGCCTCGAGACCGTCCTCCCTTCCTCCCATCATAGTCACAACACAGCAATAGACCACGGATTTAGACTCTACTATTCTGTTGTACATGCACGATTGCTGTTTATGCGTACTACTGTACTGCTGTGTATGCATATGCCAGCCCGCATATGCATAGACTATGCATGCAACACATACATGCACAAATGATTTGCATGCAACAGCAGTTCGAATTCCTGACGATTCTCGTGTCACACACATCTAATACCATGCCTGTGTGCGGCGGTAATCACTTGCCGACCCACACACCCAACACAGCAGCGGCAGCAGCAGCAGCAGCAGCAGCAGCAGCTTGCTTCAAGGAGAAGGATAGGGTCAGTCCCGTTGCACAGTAGCTTATTTCCGTATTTCGTTCTGCTCTCTCGGTTGGTTAAACCTCAGTACTCTAATAAGCAAATATATTACTCTGCATGCCATCTCTTTATGTTTTTCTTTTTGCGGAACTCGCCTGCCTGCCTGCCTCTTCTTTCATTCCGGCGCCTGCACTCGGACATGGTAGTCGACGATACCGCCCCCCTCGAGAGTAATGTGTGTGTTCGTCTCATCTTCTATGTGTCTACAGCAGCACGCACAGTCAGTGTACTACTCTGTACATTCGTATCCCTGCCCCTTTGGTACCTGGTATTATCGAAAATGATTGACGGATCGGCCGCAGTCACAAGCAAGAAAGGAAGGAAGCAATTCACACATGAGCTTTTTTTTCTGGTCTTGTGCAATCGTCCGACCTTTTGTCCTTCTCGGAGGTGATTGCCTTGGAACGGGTCAGCGGTCCCGCCCCTGTCCTCGTCAACCGAGGCAGTAGTCGAAAATTCACATACTCATCCGCATAATCGCAACCCACCCCAAAATGGCAAAGCCTCTACACACAAAACGTGTTTTGTTCACTTCGGAGAGGGAAGTAGCGAACTCCATCCTGGAAAGTTACGGGATTATAAATTTCTGATCTTGTGCAATCGCCCGACCTTCTGTACTGCTCGGAGGTGATTTCCTTGGAACGGGTCAGCCGTCCCGTCCCTGTCCTCGTCGACCATGACAGTGGTCGAAAATTCGCAGACTCATCCGCATAGTCGCAACCCACAAAAGGCAGGGCCTCTACACACAAAACGTGCTTTTTCACTCCGGAGAGAGAAGAAGCGAACTCCAACCCGGCAAGTAACGGGATGATAATGTTGCCGTAGGCATCACGGTGACAGCAGTATTTCTTCATACTGGACAATAATGTCGTAATGTAAATCAACAGAGTGAGGTCGATGGACCAAGCGTGAATGGACCACAAGCGTGTGTGTGGGATGGAAGTGCTCGTCGATTCAATTGACAACAACCGGATCGACTCCTACACGTTGCAGTCAACCCTCCTAGGGCTTCCACCGATGGTACTGCTGTTCTTGCGTGTCGGCCTGTGCGAATCGAGAAGAAAACACGTTTATAGTTTTCGCGAGTGTAATGTGCACGGTGACCTCGATGAGCGAGGGCTGAATCTCTTGCAAGTCTCCTGTGAGTGTGAGACGTTAGAGGATGGAACCGAGCATCAAGCATCAAGTTGCTTCTCTTTACTCTTATTGTCCGGTCCAATGAGCACAGGGTCTGCATCTATTCGACTTCTGAAGCCAAGATTCTATCGTTGGGCAGCAAGATGTTTGGGGCCGGAGAGACGTCGTGGTACGTCGTATGCATAGTCTACGGCGGAGAGTTTGGGAGGAAGGGGGACTTATCTTCCGTGTGTTCCAAGCGGGGAGTACCCGCTACAGTCATGTCAACAGGACCTTGTTGCCGTTCGTTGTTTGTTTGACGACACACCTGTTCGGCAGCGGTTGGAGGTCGCACGATTGTGGAGATGAACGCGGATTCATGCACACACCACGTGATGGCGCTTTGCCGCTGCACGCATGCATGTTGTCGGCTCTCGGGTTCTCACTGGTTCCTTCCTCCCTTCCTTTCTCTCTCTCTGTCTGTCTCTCTAACTGTCTCTCTGTCTCTGTCTCTCTTTGTCTGTTACATCTGTCTCTGTCTGTGTCTCTCGGTCTTTCTGTCTGTTTCTCTCTCTGTCTCTCTCTGTCTATATCTCCCTCCCTCCCTCCCTCCCGCCCGCCTCCCCTCCATCCCTCTCTCTCTCTCTCCCTCTGTCTCCTCTCCAGCAGCAGCGACACTATGGCGGAAGTGATCCTGCCCGTCAACCTGGCCGTGATGATCGCCAAGACCTTCTTCGTCGTCGACGCCATCAGAGGCATCCGCGGACACAAGAGTGTCGTCTGCAGGGCAGCCCGGGCCGCTAACAGCAGCGGGTTGCTCGGTTCGCAGCGGTCGTCGTCCTCCCAGGGACGGCGATCAGCCCCAAACCGCCCCCCCGTCCTGGCACAGCGGGGACGGAGCGCCAGCGCCAGCGCGGGCTCTCCGAAAGTCAGGTACGTTGCCCCCTTGTTTTTCTACTTGCTGGCGTGGCATCATTGCTTGCTGTAGGAAGTTGAGAGATGGCACCCCCCTCCTATATCGAATTTCAAGGCTCGATTTGTCCACAACCAAGTGGGTCCCATATGTCGACGAAAAGCCCTCGACATTTTTCGTGGACATTATTCCAACATTTTTGGTATTGGTACAGGCTTGGTCGTGGAGAAATCGATCTTTGGAAATCGGGCTAACGGGGTGTACCATCTCTCCGCCTCTTACTTTGGTACTGCTATGGTACCGATTTCCTGCGACATTGACAGGCGGCGGCGGTGTCACCGCAGTTTGCACTTAGGCATGATTTGACCTTTTCTTTTTCTGTTATAAGAACAAGCAAAAGGGCTCACGAACAGGGGGGGTACTCGTGCATGCCGTAGTCGTTTGACCGTTGATCTCGCATCCCTACAAAGGCGGGACGGAGCACGCCGGGGTCTCACCGGACCAGGCTCTCACATCACCAAGCGTGAAGCGCCGTGAGGTATGCGGCGAGTCGCATGAAGGGTGCCCTGCATCCTGCTAAGGGTGTTCGGCATCTTGTCCTTACTTCCCTGCGTACGGATGACAGCTGCGAATTACTTACATAAGTTTTGTTCCGGTGCTTTTATTCCCAGAGACAGTTGTAAGCACTCCAATGAAACACAACGTGGGATGATCACCCCCCTTTGCCCAGAGTGAAGGTTCTCGACCCAGCACAACATAATCTACTCGACCACCATTGTGGTTACCGCAAGAAAGAAAGGCCGAAAGGCAACAAAAAATGCGATAACCTGGTTGCCGAGCTCACGAAGTGATCGGCTTGTTTTACAACGTCGTTGCCAAGCGACGAAAGCTCAACTCCGATGGCAAACACGGAGGGGGGGGGGGGGGGGGGGGGGGACCCTTTTTCTACTCTCTCCCCTCTACCG